TGTGTGTGTGTGTGTGTGTGTGTGTGTGTGTGTGTGTGTGTGTGTGTTTCTGTCCCAGGTGGCAATAGACTTCACAGCATCCAATGGTGATCCCAGAAACAGCTGCTCCCTCCACTACATCCATCCCTACCAGCCCAACGAGTACCTCAAAGCGCTGGTGGCTGTAGGAGAGATCTGCCAAGACTATGACAGGTAGAAACCACTTCATCATTTATCTATCGATGACACACTCGCACACATACACATACACACACTAGCTTGTCCCTCTCAAGGCCTTTGTCCTTCTTTGTCCTCTGTGCCTTTCTCGATCGTTTTCAGTGAATTACGTGCCTTTTTGTCTTTCTCTAGTGATAAAATGTTCCCTGCGTTTGGTTTTGGAGCACTGATACCACCTGACTTCAAGGTAGGGCATTTGTGTGTATGTGTGTTCACAGCAACAGGGGGAGTTGTGGTTACTTTAGATTTAGGCTTGAGATCTCTTTCTGAGGCACAGCTTGCTTTTGATCAACATGAAAAGAGAATGCATCTGCCAAACTGTAAATTGGACTGAACATGTTGTGCTGAGTGTTCAATTTGACGTGGCGGTTAACGGCTCTGTGTTCTCTCTCTGCCCCACGTGAAGGTTTCACATGATTTCGCCGTGAACTCTGATGAGGACAATCCTGAATGTGCTGGTGAGCTATCAAACAAACACACACACACACACACACACACACTTCCTTGTATTTACACAGACTTCTTGACTCACAAAAACTTTTATTCATGCACCACAGGACCAAAGCAGTCCCGCAGTAGCACTGCTGCAGGCCTCTCATCTCTCCCTCCCAGTTAGACCCATATTTCTCCCTCTATATCGGTCCCTACTCGGTTTCTTCCCCTCAAATATACAAATACACGCACACACACACACATACACATATGCAGCTGGGAGATTTGTCACTATGCTGCAGGAAGTATTTCGGCCTCTAAGATACAGACAAAAACAACACTAATCTGTATGTGTGAAATGGGCTTTTGTGCTCTTCTCCCCACATAGCTGTGTTCCTGCCGTGAAGGTGTGTGTGTGTGTATCAGCGTAGTTTGTGTGGACTATGGGAATGCTTGTTGAAAATTGCCCAGTCACCTTGGAGTGTAATCATACAGAGCGATTCATTTTAGTGGATACTTTTGCAAGTACAAGAACTTTGACTTGGAGAGGTGAAGACAAATATATAAGTGGCAAAAGAGCCTGTGTGTTGCAGGGATCCAAGGCGTGGTGGAGGCCTACCAGAATTGCCTCCCTAAGATCCAGCTCTACGGGCCCACCAACATCGCTCCAATCATCCAAAAAGTTGCTTCGTCTGCCTCCGAGGAGATGCACACCAAAGAGGCCATGGTGAGCGAGATAATGAGAAAGAAAGTCTGGGCTATTTTGTTCCTGTTGTTGTGATTGTTGTTGGTGTTTGCCCTGGGACACAGGAGGAGAAGGGAGAGACAAATAGCAATGAAAAGATAGAACAGATAAAAGATGGGACTAGGAAGGGGCAGAAAGAGATGCATTGAAAAGAGGGAGGAAGTGATTGATATTAATTTAATTCCAGTCATAAATTTTAGAGCACAAATTCCTCTCTGCAGTAATGCCTCCCTCTTCTTTCTGGCTCTCTAGTGGATTCGAATGAGTTTTATTCAAATTAGCCCCTGACAAGAAGCCACTTTGAGAACATAAAAGTCATCGAATATCTATTCCTCCCTTCCCACATCCACCCACAACTTTCTCCCCTCCCATCAGGAATACTTCATCCTGTTGATCCTGACAGACGGCGTCATCACCGACATGGCGGACACACGGGAGGCCATCGTGCATGCGTCCCACCTGCCCATGTCAGTCATCATCGTCGGCGTGGGCAACGCAGACTTCACAGACATGCAGATATTGGACGGGGACGATGGGATCCTGCGTTCACCAAAGGGCGAGCCTGTCCTCCGCGACATCGTCCAGTTCGTCCCCTTCAAGGACTTCAAACACGTGGGTGGTGATTGAGGAGGGGAGAAGGGCGAGGGGTAGAAGTTTTGGATTTCTGGAAAAATCATAGAGCTTTTTATAAATGCATTCCTGCCAGAAAATGTGACTAATTCTCCAGGGAGGTCAGGCAACATCAAGACACATACAAATGGGGCACTACATAATAAAGCAGCAGAATGAGTTTTGTAACATGCTTTTTGCACAAGATGCTGTATTTCAGCTATATTTTTCTACCTCGTGTGGTTACTTCTTCACAGCCAGCATAACTATAGTGGATACCGAGCTCTTACTTTAATACGTAAGAGCTTTTTCAAGCTGAATAACAACAGTAAAGGGCATAAGAAATGTGAGGTTACAAAAGAGTATCTTGTCATTAAACGTTAAGGAATTTCACAGCAAGGCCACAGACTTTAAAAAAGCCTCTTAAGTGGGCTCAAGTGTTTTTTTTTCAATACCGTTGCCAGAACAACACCTGAGGTTCTGTACTGAAAAAACTAAGTTTTCACAAATCTACTGCAGAAAACAATGTATGCACAAGGCTCATGTAAAAGATAGTAAATATGGTGTCATAACCTCTGTGATAATCAATGCCCACACATGAAGACAAGCTGCCACTGTGCCTGGTCCGGCTCTTTTGAACAGGACGTGGTGCTGAAATAACATCTAGTAAATTTACCAGATGGTTAACACAGATAGTAAATATAATCATTTGAAGTGAGAATATGTAACATATGGAAGAAATATAACACAATCCTTATCTTACAAATGAGAAGAGGAATTCATAAGCAATAAAACACACCCTTCAGTTTATGTTCAGGGGTTTTGTAAATACAGCATTACTTGGCCTGGTACGACCAGTAGTAGTATGGTGGCTACATTTTTGATAGAAATTGCTATGCAGCTGACATTATCGAGTTAGATTGATGACTTTATGGCACTTCATTCCTTACATCATGTTTTCTGTTATCCTGTAATGGCCACTCACTGCTCCTCTTCGAAAATTGATAGCTTTGTGTTTGAATTGAAACACAGTTTTAATCCCACGGTTGTGGCCTATTTGACCATGATATATTTGTGTCTCACAAACACAAATTGGGGGCACCTGAACCCTAATGGCATGCTGAAGAGTTTCTTTAAGGCAACAACAACCACAACAGCAGCACTTTTTAGTCATCCTTAAATCACGTGGCCCACAGTTTTCTCTAGCCCGTACTTCAACAGAGAACATACATATCACATAAATGAGTCTTGATTTGCTGTTCGCCGTTGCTTACTAATGGGGAAAATGACATCTCATATTGGATACAATTCTAAAACAAACAAATAAAATGTATTTTAGTCTTAAATTATTTCTGTGACATAAATAATTTGTCTTTAGCGAAGGAGTCTTGGCCATATATTAGCCGCATGGCCAAGGCATGGCAGGTGGAATTTGTTTTCAGTACAGTATGTTAATATCTGCAGCACAAATACATGAATGGACAATAGCAGACAATCATGGTAATGCGTGTCAGTTATGTCAACATAAGACATTTCACATAAAAGACCAGTCAAATGACATCAAACAATGAATTAGCAGTGTTCTCCCGTAACAGGACATGTACATCCAAGGGTCAAATATAGTACTTAATCCTGTTTTTAAAATCTTCTGTGTTTATAAATGAATCTAGTGTGTCTCTGTAGCGCACACAAAGATGAGGTTGCAAAAGCTTTAAAAGCACGTTCACCAAGGACAGTTCGTGTTCGAGGAATGACGTACATAATTTGTCAGCATTACCCAAGGTTGCAGCTACTGATAGTTTCAGGAGTCGGTAGAGAAGTATTATCGTTTAGAAGAAAGATGTGGAAATGTGCGATGAAAGTGTGAGTAAACATTATTTATTGTTACTCGAAAAGTATCGAGGTTCAATACCAAGGGGGCACACCAAGCAATGGCTTTTAAAACGTTCTACTCAGCATTGGCTCTATCTGTCTGTGTGTGTGTGTGTGTGTGTGTGTGTGTGTGTGTGTGTGTGTGTGTTGGGTGGATGGGTGGGTGTCAAGAAGTGCTGTATTCAGGGGGTAACGAGTGTGAATGTGTGGGCGTAATATGCTTGGCGTGCTCGTCAAAACCCATCAGCTATCTTCTCAATGCGCGTGTGTGTGTGTGTGTGTGTGCGTGTATGTGCACGTGTATCTCTCTGGTGGCATTAATTTTGTCTGACTTTGACAGGGTCAGTTTGGCCCGGTCTGTTATGGTGAGTTTGGTCTGTGACAGGTTGAGACATCAACAAATTACATCCAGCTGAACAGAGAGAGAAGGGGGAGACAAAGTGCTCAAACATAAACCTAAAAGTAAATAGAGAGACAGTCAGAGAGGAGAGGTGAAGAACAAATTTGGAGGAGCAGAAGCGGAAGGTGGAGGGAGAGAGACAGCGGCCGGTGGTTGTGGTGGTGGCGCAGGGGCGGGGTGGGGGGGGGTCAACAGGAGACCGGAGCTAAAGACAAAAGGGAGCGAGGGAGTGTGTGACAGAGGTGGAGAGGTGATTTTCTGCTCTGTCGTTTCTTTTCAGAAGGGATTAGCAGGATGGAGCTGCTGTGAGACAGGCAGAGTGGGGGATAACAGGTAGATAGGAGCTGGGAGGGAAGGTGGAAATGAGAGGAGGAAGGAGAGGGAGTGGGGTCGGGGTGGCTGCACTTTGATGGTGCATTGTCTCTGGGAATTATGGGAGACGGAGTATACGACAGACTCTCTGACTTACAGGAATTGGAGGTGTGTGCGGTGTGGGAGCATGTGAGCGTTCAGGTGGAGGAGTGGCTGACTTGTATGCGTGTGAATTCATGTACGCATAAGAATGTGCTTCCCTTTTTTTAACTGTATATTTCAAAGGAAAAGTCTTACATTTAATCCATCATCATTCTAGTCCTTTGATGGAATAAGACAGGTCTTTTTGTGACCAACTGTTTTTTATTAGTTATTTATTAGATATGTGTAACAAAATAAAAAGCAAAGAGGCAAAAAGTCATATACAGACACATAAAAGCACAGAAATAATTGCCCCAGTGTTGAACCATTCACAGAGGACACAATAGATCAGAATACAATGAATAAAAATAAACACTTAGCTGAGGTGATTATGAGAATTCTAGAAGGCTAGAACGAGAATCCTAGCAACAAATAGCTCCAATTAATGTCGTAGTTTTTGTAATTCAGTGTGGAGGTTTCAAACATAAACTTTATTGTCATTTTATTGGCTGCATTGGTTCCTGTTAGGAAAACGTACATTTTCCACAAACCTATGCTGACCCATGAAAATTGGAATTGCCTTTTGTTTTTTCTCAAATAATAGCAAAATAGGACCAAACACAAGGGGACTACTTTCCAGTATTATCTGTACCCAGGTTTAATGCATGATCATTTGCTTTTGTAATGTGTAAAGAGTTTGCTTTCATGCATTATTTTTAATGAATAGACAGGATCTGATGAGCTTTTCTCCATAGCAAACAAACTATGATGCTAGAGGACAAAAAGGTGAAAGCAGGGACGTTTTGAGGTTTTCAAATGAGCTTGTCTGATAACATCAGTCTCACTAGTCCAGACCTTTGACAGCTTCAGGCTGACAGCAACACAACGGCAAATCGTAGCATCCTAGAATCATGCATGGCTGATGACGTGTGTGTATTTGTGACCCCTCGCTTCCTCGCTCTCCTTCTGTCTCTGTGTCTCCAGGCCTCCCCAGCTGCACTGGCTAAGAGTGTTTTGGCAGAAGTCCCTAACCAGGTGGTGGATTACTACAACGCAAAAGGCATCAAACCCAAGTGTATGTCGGACTATGAGTCCACAAGAACCTTCAGCCCCTGACAATGGACTACATGCAAACATACACTCAAATACATACATATATCATGTATATATACATATACAAATGTATGTATGTACTGTATAATACATATACACAAGTAAAAGCACAAGCATATTTCCACACACAAACAAACACATAACCATATCACATAATACATAAAGTAGTCTAGCTCAGAGAATTAGTTCGTTCTGGTGAAACAATTTGAACTACACCGTTGATGACTGTTGCATGTTTGGCCACAATGGCGTCACCTGGGAAATTATTACTATCTACTGTATACCTAAAAGATATTTATAGAAATAAGAGCAGTCTTTTGAACCAGCATGCAGACTCAGACCATAGCCCACCCAAAGAAATGACATTCCTACCTTATTTAGATAACTAGCAAGTAGCCTAAGTAACCCAAAAGATCTGTGGGTAGTAAAAAAAATGTGACTGCATAGCCCGCAATGCTTAGAATTAGCAATTCAAATGTTATTTATGGCAACGGTGTCCCTGTTAGTGTACCGCATAAACGCATGAATAATTCAGCTCCTGCTAATATCCAATCTCCAGTACCCGCTTGCTAGTTATGAAATAAAGTATCTCTGTCATTTGAGTGACATTCAGGGTTGTCGTGGGTGTTTGGGGGTTCTTTTCTACAGATTTGTTTGAGATTTTGCTAAATGGAAATGAACAACTTAATAATTGTAATAATTTCTTAATAACCTTCTTACATTGTAAAGAGTTTTGGGAGGTTAGCAAAGCGTGTGTGGTAGACACTTATCAGTGAGCTGAAAACTGTTTTTTTCTGTATTCTGCATGTTGATTATAATAAAGACATTTTGGTTTTCTCATTTCGGTGTGATCCAATGTTTGTGTGTATGTGTACTTGTATTAATCATGTTGTGGGTAGATAAATATGTCTATAAATTGCCTGGGATTCAATTCAATTTTAGATTTTTTGGTTTTTGGTAAAGGATAGTGTAAGGTGTGGGGCTAGACATGTATTTATCATTGTAAGGTTCTCCAAGGAATTCATGTATAACAAATTGACTTCCTCCCAAGTGACATAAATCAAAATGCATTTTGTGTGTTCAGGGTTGCGATATAACCTAGAATTAAAAAGAACGACAACAAAGACTTGATTTATTTTTCCCTTTGAGCATCTGTTTCTCCGTTTACTGAATATGCAGACTATTTGTTTATGCAGACCTCCACTTAGATATCACTCACCTCTATCTATATCTCTAATGGACAGCCCTGTAGGTTGACAGTGTTATTTGTTTGTGTTGCAGTTTCAAGTATTGTGGAGTGCTGGTTCGTGACATCTTCATCCACAACATTTCTCTTTCACTCTCCTCTATATCTCCCAGACAGACATTAAAATACAAGAATAAATTATCTCCCAAATCTCCATATAGTTAATTAGGGCAAACCAAAGTTGTGCTGTCCTGAGAGTGCACTGCATGCGTGCCTCGGTCTCTGACAGTCTGATCAGTATTCAACAGAGAAACCTCCTGATATCTGTGTCAGAGACCACCGACATCAGAGGAATTACATTGAGAGACAGTGAGTGGATCGGATGTATAAAGGCTGGATGAAACCACTGAAAAGGAGAAATACTCTACCTTATATACTAATCTTTTCTGGTCTATTATAAAATCTAATATCATTATCTTAAGCTATATTTTTTATATTTAATACAATTACCTGGGACAATGAGCAATAACACTAATAATGAATTAAAAAAACGATTTTCAAATGTTACTCAGTGTATAGTTAAAATTCAGGAGATTTTCAATGTGACTTGTTTTACTTGATACCCTTCAAAATACAACACATTTATCATGCTTATTTGTTTTATTTATCATTGTTCTTTATTATTTTATGCCTTGTATAGAGCTCATGAATGGAAATGTAAACATCAACATTTCCAGGACAACTTAGCAAAATCCATCTGTTAATGAAGATCAGGTTGTATGATTGAAAGCTCGAAAACTACTAAATTAACCTTTAAGGGAAATTGTTATGTCAATTGTTGTTTCCAAGGTCAAGAATGAACTTTGAAATTCTTGTTTCGTTTCTGTTGGGTTATTTGTATCAAATCTTTAGCAACATTAAGTTTTATATAACTATAACAGTTTAATCGCGTTTTGGAGTATCAAAGTATCAAATTAAGAAATAAAATTAGTTGCGTGGAACCATTTTCATGACCCTCTGTGCAGGGGATCTGTTTATCTCACGGACCGGAAGTAGCCAGGGTGACATTTAGAACAGGACGAAATCGAAGGCATGGTTGTGCGTATGCTGTGAGAGCTCGTGTCCCTTTAGTTTGTGTGTAGCTTTTTACATATTCATATGTAGCCAAGTGTACACGTTACAGAGCGCAATGGCGTCGTGGAGCTGTCGGTTTCTTCTTCAGCGGGGAACTCGAATATTTTCTCTCCGGACAGCAGCTGAAAGGTGGCTAATGCTAACTGGCTAGTTGTGTCAATGTAACTGAACTGAAGTTAGCTTCAGCACGTAGGTTGCTGTCGTGAATTACCTGTACAGTCTAATTCTACGCTGTTCTTGTTTATATCTTAGCCTTTTATTTGCATATAAATGAGCTACTGTTACCCCCCCCCCTGCAAAGCAACACCAAAGCTAGCTTAATTGTCTCTTATAACAAACGTCATCGTGTAAATATTTCCTACAGTTTCTCAAGGTTTCTTGACTTGTATTCTTTTGGTGTATGTTTTAGATTTTTAGTGCTCTAATGTTACACGAAATACTAAATGATTAATGTAGAGACCGTTATAAAGGACAACACTGATGGACCAGTCTACAGTAACACATGAGTCACGTGTTGGTGGGCAGACTTTATTATGACAACATGTCACCACGGTTCATTCAGTCCTGTGTAACTGTTTTAAATGAAGCTTATTGACTGACTCGTCACTAAGCAGTGATGCACAAACTGTCCCTGTGGATGTGTGAACCTGCTTGTTATTCATCTGCGAGGACATATTATAATAATTATTGTTATTACTAAAGTGCCAGAGTAGTATGAGATCTGAGGCAGGGAGGCAATCTTCAGTTTAGGTTAAACAGTGAATGCACGAATTAGCCTCAAACTCTTTAAATTGCAATAGGCATATCTAACTATGTTCTGCAATTTAACATTAATTGGCAAGGCAAAATAATAATTATTTGCAGCCCTTAAGTAATAAGCACACATGTATGCTACCTGGACACAGTTACTGGTCATTATTAGTCTAGCTCTGGACGTTCGTGATGGTCTTACTGGGAAATAGCTCCACCTAATTCCCTGAATTTCTTTTTTCTTGCAGTCCTGCACACGTGGCGGGTTGTATTAGGACGGTAAAGACCACAACGTGGTTTGATGAACACCTCACAGAGGACAACCAGGAGTACATGAGAAAGAGCGCGGCGCAGGAATACAGGCGACAAACAGCTGATAAGCTCAACCCGCTCAAAGATGAGCCTTGGCAGCGTCAAGAGTGGACACGGGGTAGGTGTTGTGGTCGGTGAGAGCTGTGAACATCACCAGCCCCCGTTCTGTTCGCTCACACTTCAACCGTCTTTTCATCTGCTCCTCTGCCCAGGTAGTCGAAGAGTTGGGCTAGTAGCCGTAAAGTTGGGGATGGCTCCTATCTGGACAAAAACGGGCGAAAGACATGTCGCCACCATGTTACAGGTAGCCCACACACACACACACAGCTGTTGTGCCTTCACTTTGCATCAAAACAACCGCAGATGTTCTTCAGTAATGATGATGTGTGTTTGTGATCCGTAATGAAATGAGCAGCAGGTTAAAGTATCAGTCAGATACATTGGATTGTTCTGTAGAGAGTGTGGGGGGGGGGGCGGCGACAGGAACAATAGCAAACATTGAACACCCTGAAGAGATTTGACGTTTATTCTCATCACGTTTCAATCTCATCGACTAATCCGTCAGTGAAGTGAATTGATTGCAAACTGCAGCCGTGTGCGCTAACTCTCATCTTTATTGATAGTGACTCACTGTATTGGGTAGCACAACAAACTCCTGTTGCAATTTAAAGTGAAATGTCAAAGTTAATACTAAGACTTTGTCATCACCGCCACGTCATATCAGAATCAAGGACAAACACAAACTTCTTTCCCGTCTGCTGATTCACTTTTAGTCATTTGTTTCTTTTCAGCTGACTCGGGAACAGTCTGTGCTAGATTGAAAAGTAGAGCATTTAATTGTACTTTTTCGGGGTGAAAGTACTCCCACCACTTTGGCATTGTGGTACATGTTCTATCTGAAGCCACACTGAAAGTATGGGACAATTAATAGCACAGCATTTTGAATGTTGCTTTGTAAAATGACATTTTGTCATTTATGTGGGTTATATTTTCCTCTTCTTTCCTCGTCCTCTGATTTACTCGCAATGTATCACGTACTGCTAAATGGTGATGTCATCCTAAAGAGGTTCTGTGAGTTAGCCAGTTGCCCCATATTTAAGTGTTTTACACTTTCAGCTAATTGCATATTTTATTTGTTGTAGGTCAGAGTTGCACATTGTTGACTGTTGTTAATCCAGCCACTGTTGGGTTTTTTCCAGGTGCAGGACTGCCATGTAATAAAGTACCTGTCCAAGGAAGAATATGATGGACACACCGCCGCCCTCTTGGTCGGAGGGAAAAACGTATCACCATTCCATGTAAGAAACAGCTGTTAATATCATTAAATAATGCATGTGTTAGTTTGTTTATCTTAGCTGAGAAACTGGATATGTTGACATATGAAACGACTGCTTCCCTTCGCTTTACAGACACTTATTATATTATTATTATTTATATATTATTATTACTTTATAGTGAATTTCAGCACATTGTTTAACTGTCTGGCTCGCAAAGCCACCGTTTTGTTTCTTTTTTTAAATGCTTTCACACACAAAAAGCCTGTAAACTTGTTGCTCAACAACAAACAGCATAAGTTAGTAGAGACGAGCTGGTGAACACAGTGGAGCCCGATATTTCCCTCAGTAGTTGATAGAGGCCATAGTTATTGCAGGTTGTATGAAAAGTAACATTTTGGAAGACAAAAATATGTTTTTGACTTGTTAGACTTGTGAGGATAATCATAGAAAGCTGAAATGCCTCTGCTTTGTTATTCCATGAGAGGTCGTTCAGCAGCTGTCCCAGAAACAGAAACGTCTCATAATTATTTTCTGCTTATTTATTTTTTACCTAGAAATTGCATCATTACTCAATAATATATAACAATACAAAGAAATGTCTTTGGTTTGAATTCTTCACTAAAAATTCCACCACAAATCTCAACATTATAGACGATTACTTTACATATAATATTCATTAAGAAGGCTGAAACTTGTTGAACCGTTCAATTTGTACTAAATTGTGTGAGAATATCTTATCGTACCCGTCGCTATGCTCTTAATGCCAGCAGAGCAGCCAAATACTCACTCGCATCACAATGTCCATTATTTGCTCATTTTAGTTTTGGCTACATTTCATCATCATGAAAAATAAAATCGAATCGGTGCGACAGCTTTATGGAAGCACGACTGACTTTTTGTCATTTCCCCGTAGAATTGAGATCACATCAGGCCTCCCAGTTCTAAAAGCGTTCATGAATACAGATCCAGAGTCAGGAAATTATGCTCACCCACCAACACATCAGTGTCTCATCTCAGGCGTCTAAATAAACTGGATCTAATAGATTTCATTGCCGCTATTTCCTGCACACACACACATTTATAAATTGTCTTTCATGCTCGTAATAAACTCTTACGGTCCCATCGCTGCGTCAGACTGACCTCTATAACACAAACACTGCAGCCGAAAGTGACAGACGGCAACACTGGCTGTCCTGTGAACCAACACGTCTATCTCAAAAAGAGTAGACAATTTTAAAGTTGTTGTTTTTTGCTCTTTTTAAATCACCTCTTAGTATGTATGAGGAGGCACTTTTCTTTCTAAATGTTGCATCTGTCTTTATATGGTTAAGGGGAAAAAAAGAACACGGCTGTATAAATCAAAGTGTAATGTATTCACTGGGTCTTGATAGCTTGACAGGTTGTTTTAGAATCCCTCTCACACGGAGTTTGTCGGAGTGAGAAGCTCTGGCAGGCTGCTTCTCACCCGTCTGTTGAAAGGGAGAGAGAGAGAGTGTAGAGTGACTGGAGGGGCTGAGATGAGAGCGAGCCGAGCGAAAGCAAATGTCAGAGGCACTCACTGCCAAGTGTGTGCACGCGTATGCCTGCGTGTGTGTGTGTGTGCGTGCGTGTGTGTGTGTGTGTGTTTGGCTGCTGTACAGTCATAACAGGGCCCACTGTTAATTTTAATATGCCAAAGTCCAACTGCTGTTCGTTCTCACATTGCTTCCTCAAACATTTTCTCTCTCTCTCTCTTTCTGTCACTCTGACCGACAGAGGTCTGAAGAGCAAATGGAGATGTTCCAGAATGCGGGCGTGCCTCCGAAACATAAAGTCACCACCTTCAAAGTCTCAGACAACGCCCTCATCAAGCCAGGTAAACACACGTGATTTAGCTTATGAGTAAATAAATACTCATTTACTATGTTTTCCATGTCGCACAATAGAATCATTTTTTTTTCTTTTTGGCCGTTTTGGTACAAATGTAATGTGATCTTGTTTGTTGTGTGTTCAGGCACTCCTCTTTATGCGGCACATTTCCGTCCAGGCCAATATGTGGACATCACAGCCAAATCGTAAGTTATATTTCTGCCAGCTTTCCCTCCTCGCTGGCGCTTCCTCTTTGCTTCCTCTCCCACTTCTTGCCCTTTTTCAGCTCCAAGCATCACATTTTGAAGATCGCTTTTTTTACTTTACAAGAAAGTCCAAACCTCTCTTTTTACACCCCTATCCTCTGAGGCAACAAGTCAACATACTTGAATTTAAAAGTATGAATTTTCTTGTGTGTGTGTAGCATTGGTAAGGGGTTTCAAGGCGTGATGAAGCGATACGGGTTCAAAGGTCAGCCAGCCACCCACGGCCAAACCAAAACTCATCGCCGACCAGGAGCTTCTGGACCTGGAGGGGTAAGACACACAGACGCTCACTCACACGTACTGTGTAAGACGCTCACACACACACATGTACTGTGTAAGACGCTCACACACATACTGTGTAAGACGCTCACACACACACACGTACTGTGTAAGACACTCGTCCATGCCAGATATGAACAGTTGGCTTCCCATAATCCGGTCATGTGAGCGCGTGTGTCTTTCATCATCTGCGTCTAGGATCCAGCCAAAGTTTTCAAAGGGAAAAAGATGCCCGGCATGATGGGCAACATCTTCGTCACAGCTTATGGACTGAAGGTACACGCACTCACAAGGACACACGGTCATGGTGTTGAAGTTTTCTTTGTCCTTGGCTGCAATGTCAGTTCAATGCTCTTTCATCTGCATCCTCTCTCTTCCAGATATGGAGGGTCAATACCAAGTATAACGTGCTGTATGTCAACGGCTCTGTGCCCGGCCACAAGAACTGCGTATTGAAGGTAAAAATAATCATATTCAGAAACACTTGTGATGTATGAAATCGAAGGTCAATCCCAGCATGCTTAGTGTTCTGACAGAGACAAGTGACCTTGCACCTGTAAAACTACCTTCACACCTGCAAGATCCATCTTCATGACACTGTGCTGGATCAGCAGCGTGTGTGTGTGTGTGTGTGTGTGCGTGTGTGTGTGTGTGTGTGTGTGTGTATGTGCGTGTGCGTGTGCACACGCATCTGTTTGTGTTTGTGTGTTCTTCTGTGAGGGAATGGAAGTGCGCACCTTAATGATGTTAATAATATACACAGCATCCATCTCCATACTCGGCAGGTTGTGTTTGCCTTTTTGTGTGTGTGGACACACACTCGGCCTGTTATTTGTTTTGCAGACAAGCGATAATGAATACAAATGTGCATTGCATTTCACCCAGCTCAGCTGTGTTACACACACACACACCCCTAGATTCACTTATATTATATTGCCCTAAAGGGCACACACATTAGAGCAGGTTAATGTTTGTTCATTGTTTATTTGTATTGTTCTGTGCAGCTCTAATGACCCTCTGTAAATGAAGAATAGATGTTTTATTGATTACAATTTAGACTAAAGGCTGCAACAAATAATAACTTTCGTCATTGATTATTTTTTTATAATGAATATGATTCATGTGGGAACTCATAACAAACACTGATCTTTCCCCAATATTGTTGGTAATTGATTAAAATGTTAAGTTGTAACAAGATTATTAGTAAGAATAATGATGTTGTGAAGATTTGAATCCTTGGTGACACCTGTACTCCTTCCCTTGAGAATTCCTCGTGTTTATCTGCATTCAGGGCAGGAATGGCAGCATCTGCCACTAGCAATAACGGCTACTATGTAAAGAGGTAATCACTCACTGTGATGTTATGTTGCCAACCAGGAATCAAAAATACAAAAACATGATTTGATTTCTTGAAGGTTTTGCTGCTTCTGAAGGGGGGGCATGACGGAAAACGTTTGAGAACTGCTGATTAGATTTGAAAATAGATTTTGGTAAATGCCTGTAACACGTTTTCCAGAACATACGGTAACATCACCAAAGTGCCTGTTTTCTTCTACCAACTGTACAAAACTCAAAAGATATTTTATTTAGAATGAAATAAAACACAGAAAAGCAGAGCATCCTCACATTTGAGCAGTTTTTGGTTGAAT